CCGTTACTTAGGGCCACAGAATTGTTACTCAGGGGACCACAGAATTGTTACTGAGGGCCACAGAATTGTTACTTAGGGCCACAGAATTGTTACTTAGGGCCACAGAATTGTTACTCAGGGACACACAAATTGTTACTGAGGGCCACAGAATTGTTACTTAGGGCCACAGAATTGTTACTCAGGGCCACAGAATTGTTACTGAGGGCCACAGAACCGTTACTTAGGGCCACAGAAATTTGTTACTTCAGGGACAGACACAGAATTGTTACTCAGGGACACAGAATTGTTACTGAGGGCCACAGAACCGTTACTTAGGGCCACAGAATTGTTACTCAGGGACACAGAATTGTTACTGAGGGCCACAGAACCGTTACTTAGGGCCACAGAATTGTTACTCAGGGACAGACACAGAATTGTTACTCAGGGACACAGAATTGTTACTGAGGGCCACAGAATTGTTACTTAGGGCAGAAACAGAACAGAATTGTTACTCAGGGCCACAGAATTGTTACTTAGGGCCACAGAATTGTTACTTAGGGGCACAGAATTGTTACTGAGGGACACACAGAATTGTTACTGAGGGCCACAGAACCGTTACTTAGGGCCACAGAATTGTTACTCAGGGACACACAGAATTGTTACTGAGGGCCACAGAACCGTTACTTAGGGCCACAGAATTGTTACTCAGGGACAGACACAGATTGTTACTCAGGGACACAGAATTGTTACTGAGGGCCACAGAACCGTTACTTAGGGCCACAGAATTGTTACTCAGGGACACACAGAATTGTTACTGAGGGCCACAGAATTGTTACTTAGGGCCACAGAAACGTTACTCAGGGACACAGAATTGTTAGGGACACAGAATTGTTAGGGGCCACAGAATTGTTACTTAGGGCCACAGAAACGTTACTAGGGCCACAGAATTGTTACTCAGGGACACAGAATTGTTACTGAGGGCACAGAATTGTTACTTAGGGCCACAGAATTGTTACTCAGGGACACAGAATTGTTACTGAGGGCCACAGAACCGTTACTTAGGGCCACAGAATTGTTACTCAGGGACAGACACAGAATTGTTACTCAGGGACACAGAATTGTTACTGAGGGCCACAGAATTGTTACTTAGGGCCACAGAATTGTTACTTAGGGACACAGAAATGTTACTGAGGGCCACAGAATTGTTACTTAGGGCCACAGAATTGTTACTCAGGGACACACAGAATTGTTACTGAGGGGGCACAGAATTGTTACTTAGGGCCACAGAATTGTTACTTAGGGCCACAGAATTGTTACTCAGGGGCCACAGAATTGTTACTGAGGGCCACAGAACACTTAGGGCCACAGAATTGTTACTCAGGGACACAGAGAATTGTTACTGAGGGCACAGAATTGTTACTGAGGGCCACAGAATTGTTACTTAGGGCCACAGAAACGTACTCAGGGACACAGAATTGTTACTGAGGGCCACAGAACCGTTACTTAGGGCCACAGAATTGTTACTCAGGGACAGACACAGAATTGTTACTGAGGGACACAGAATTGTTACTGAGGGCCACAGAACCGTTACTTAGGGCCACAGAATTGTTACTCAGGGACACAGAATTGTTACTGAGGGCCACAGAATTGTTACTGAGGGCCACAGAATTGTTACTTAGGGCCACAGAATTGTTACTTAGGGACACACAGAATTGTTACTCAGGGCCACAGAATTGTTACTGAGGGCCACAGAACCGTTACTTAGGGCACAGAATTGTTACTGAGGGACACAGAATTGTTACTGAGGGCCACAGAACCGTTACTTAGGGCCACAGAATTGTTACTCAGGGACAGACACAGAATTGTTACTGGGACACACAGAATTGTTACTGAGGGCCACAGAACCGTTACTTAGGGCCACAGAATTTACTACTCAGGGACACAGAATTGTTACTGAGGGCCACAGAACCGTTACTTAGGGCCACAGAATTGTTACTCTGAGGGACAGACACAGAATTGTTACTGAGGGACACAGAATTGTTACTGAGGGCCACAGAACCGTTTACTTAGGGCCACAGAATTGTTACTCAGGGACACAGAATTGTTACTGAGGGCCACAGAATTGTTACTGAGGGACAGACACAGAATTGTTACTGGGGCCACAGAAATTGTTACTCAGGGACACAGAGAATTGTTACTCAGGGCCACAGAATTGTTACTTAGGGCCACAGAATTGTTACTCAGGGACACAGAAATGTTACTGAGGGCCACAGAATTGTTACTTAGGGCCACACAGAATTGTTACTCAGGGACAGACACAGAATTGTTACTGAGGGCCACAGAATTGTTACTTAGGGCACAGAATTGTTACTCAGGGACACAGAATTGTTACTGAGGGCCACAGAACCGTTACTTAGGGCCACAGAATTGTTACTCAGGGACACAGAATTGTTACTGAGGGACACAGAATTGTTACAGGGCCACAGAACCGTTACTTAGGGCCACAGAATTGTTACTCAGGGACAGACACAGAATTTTTACTGAGGGACACAGAATTGTTACTGAGGGCCACAGAATTGTTACTTAGGGACACAGAATTGTTACTCAGGGACCACAGAATTGTTACTGAGGGCCACAGAAATTGTTACAGGGCCACAGAATTGTTACTCAGAACAGGGACAGAATTGTTACTGAGGGCACAGAATTGTTACTGAGGGCCACAGACACAGAATTTACTTAGGGCCACAGAATTGTTACTCAGGGACAGACACAGAATTGTTACTCAGGGACACAGAATTGTTACTGAGGGCCACAGAAATGTTACTTAGGGCCACAGAACTCACGTTACTCAGGGACACAGAATTGTTACTCAGGGACACAGGAATTGTTACTGACAGAAGAACCGTTACTTAGGGCCACAGAATTGTTACTCAGGGACACACAGAATTGTTACTTAGGGCTCAGGGACAGACACAGAATTGTTACTCAGGGCCACAGAATTGTTACTTAGGGACACACACAGAATTGTTACTGAGGGACACAGAATTGTTACTGAGGGCCACAGAACCGTTACTTAGGGAGGGCCACAGAATTGTTACTCAGGGACACACAGAATTGTTACTGAGGGGCCACAGAACCGTTACTTAGGGCCACAGAATTGTTACTACTCAGGGACTGACACAGAATTGTTACTCAGGGACACAGAATTGTTACTGAGGGCCACAGAAACCGTTACTCAGGGGCCACAGAATTGTTACTGAGGGCCACAGAACAGACAGGGCCACAGAATTGTTACTCAGGGACAGACAGAATTGTTACTGAGGGCCACAGAATTGTTACTTACTTAGGGCCACACAGAATTGTTACTCAGGGCACACAGAATTGTTACTGAGGGCCACAGAACCGTTACTTAGGGCCACAGAATTGTTACTCAGGCCCACAGACACTCAGGGACAGAATTGTTACTCAGGGACAGACACAGAATTGTTACTCAGGGACACAGAATGTTACTGAGGGACACAGAATTGTTACTACTGAGGGACACAGAATTGTTACTCAGGGACCAGGACAGAATTGTTACTCAGGGACACAGAATTGTTACTCAGGGACACAGAATTGTTACTGAGGGACACAGAATTGTTACTCAGGGACAGACACAGAATTGTTACTCAGGCCAGACAGAATTGTTACTGGGCCCCTAGACCACAGAACTGTTACTGGGTAGGGCCACAGAAACTGTTACTCAGGGCCACAGAATTGTTACTCAGGGACAGGGTGTTCAGAATTGTTACTCAGGGACAGACACAGAATTGTTACTGAGGGACACAGAATTGTTACTGAGGGCACAGAATTGTTACTGAGGGACACAGAATTGTTACTGGGGACCACCACAGAACTGTTACTTAGGGCACAGAAACGTTACTCAGGGACACAGAATTGTTACTCAGGGACACAGAATCGTTTAATTAAAGAGTATGTCAGACAACATGCAGAGGAGTGGCAGAGGAGGCAATGAGCAGACTTAGGACGAGCAGACGTGCAGCAGAGGAAGGGGTCGAGGCAGCACTATTCGCAGCCAGGCAGGCTAGTGCTCCCATGGGTCATCCAGTACAGTGAGGAAGAGCTAACAGAGGGCGGTCAGGAACGGGGGGAGACATCCGCCTCTTCAGCAGCCAGGCAAAGAAGTAGTGGCGAGGAGAGTGGCTCGGTAGCCGGTGTCACAGACAGGTCTGTCTCCTGACACACACGCAGCCGAGGGGGCTAGTAGTGAGGCGGAGACCCTAATTGATGATGATGGGTGCTGATCGCACGGGCAGCCTCGTCGTCATCAGGCTAGCTGCTTCCGCATCATCAGGAGAAGAGGGTGGCAGCTTGGCCCGAGCAAAACAGTCGGTGGGCTGCTCCAGGTCCACAGTCTCTCATGGTCCCTGCCATGGCCACATTCAGCTCTCCATCGCCACACTGCCATGGTCTCCTCACACACACTGCTGTGTGTTCCATTTTTTGTCATAGGGTGCTGGCAGAGATTACGGGCCTCCCACATAGCTGCTGCCAGGCCCCTAATCTGCCATAGGCCCCCCCTATACCGCCTCCTCATGCTGCTGCCAAGTCCAGAGTCTCTCATGGGTCCCTGTACGGCCTCCCATTGCTGCTGTCTCCATCGCCACACTCTGCCATGTGCCACTTTCAGGTCTCCTCACACACTGCTGGTGTGTTCAATTTTTTGACATAGGGTGCTGGCAGATTACGGGCCTCCCATAGCTGCTGCCAGGCCCCTAATCTGCCATGGGCCCCTATATACCGCCTCCTCATGCTGCTGCCAAGTCCAGAGTCTCTCATGGGTCCCTGTACGGCCTCCCATTGCTGCTGTCTCCATCGCCACACTCTGCCATGTGCCACTTTCAGGTCTCCTCACACTGCTGGTGTGTTCCATTTTTTGTCATAGGGTGCTGGCAGATTACGGGCCTCCCATAGCTGCTGCCAGGCCCCTAATCTGCCATGGGCCCCTATATACCGCCTCCTCATGCTGCTGCCAGGTCCAGAGTCTCTCATGGGTCCCTGTACGGCCTCCCATTGCTGCTGTCTCCATCGCCACACTCTGCCATGTGCCACTTTCAGGTCTCCTCACACACTGCTGGTGTGTTCCATTTTTTGACATAGGGTGCTGGCAGATTACGGGCCTCCCATAGCTGCTGCCAGGCCCCTAATCTGCCATGGGCCCCTATACCGCCTCCTCATGCTGCTGCCAAGTCCAGAGTCTCTCATGGGTCCCTGTACGGCCTCCCATTGCTGCTGTCTCCATCGCCACACTCTGCCATGTGCCACTTTCAGGTCTCCTCACACTGCTGGTGTGTTCCATTTTTTGTCATAGGGTGCTGGCAGATTACGGGCCTCCCATAGCTGCTGCCAGGCCCCTAATCTGCCATGGGCCCCTATACCGCCTCCTCATGCTGCTGCCAAGTCCAGAGTCTCTCATGGGTCCCTGTACGGCCTCCCATTGCTGCTGTCTCCATCGCCACACTCTGCCATGTGCCACTTTCAGGTCTCCCTCACACACTGCTGGTGTGTTCCATTTTTTGTCATAGGGTGCTGGCAGATTACGGGCCTCCCATAGCTGCTGCCAGGCCCCTAATCTGCCATGGGCCCCTATACCACTACCGCCTCCTCATGCTGCTGCCAGGTCCAGAGTCTCTCATGGGTCCCCCTGTACGGCCTCCCATTGCTGCTGTCTCCATCGCCACACTCTGCCATGTGCCACTTTCAGGTCTCCTCACACACTGCTGGTGTGTTCCAATTTTTTGACATAGGGTGCTGGCAGATTACGGGCCTCCCATAGCTGCTGCCAGGCCCCTAATCTGCCATGGGCCCCTATATACCGCCTCCTCATGCTGCTGCCAGGTCCAGAGTCTCTCATGGGTCCCTGTACGGCCTCCCATTGCTGCTGTCTCCATCGCCACACTCTGCCATGTGCCACTTTCAGGTCTCCTCACACTGCTGGTGTGTTTCCAATTTTTTGACATAGGGTGCTGGCAGATTACGGGCCTCCCATAGCTGCTGCCAGGCCCCTAATCTGCCATGGGCCCCTATACCGCCTCCTCATGCTGCTGCCAAGTCCAGAGTCTCTCATGGGTCCCTGTACGGCCTCCCATTGCTGCTGTCTCCATCGCCACACTCTGCCATGTGCCACTTTCAGGTCCTCACACACACTGCTGGTGTGTGTTTCCAATTTTTTTGACATAGGGTGCTGGCAGATTACGGGCCTCCCATAGCTGCTGCCAGGCCCCTAATCTGCCATGGGCCCCTATACCGCCTCCTCATGCTGCTGCCAAGTCCAGAGTCTCTCATGGGTCCCTGTACGGCCTCCCATTGCTGCTGTCTCCATCGCCACACTCTGCCATGTGCCACTTTCAGGTCTCCTCACACACTGCTGGTGTGTTCCATTTTTTGACATAGGGTGCTGGCAGATTACGGGCCTCCCATAGCTGCTGCCAGGCCCTAAATCTGCCATGGGCCCCTATACCGCCTCCTCATGCTGCTGCCAAGTCCAGAGTCTCTCATGGGTCCCTGTACGGCCTCCCATTGCTGCTGTCTCCATCGCCACACTCTGCCATGTGCCACTTTCAGGTCTCCTCACACTGCTGGTGTGTTCCATTTTTTGTCATAGGGTGCTGGCAGATTACGGGCCTCCCATAGCTGCTGCCAGGCCCCTAATCTGCCATGGGCCCCTATACCGCCTCCTCATGCTGCTGCCAGGTCCAGGCGAACGTAGTCACACAGGGGAGGAACTTCTCAGTGTAATGAACAGAGAAATCGACAGATGGCTGTCTCCGCGCAAACTGAAAATCGGAACCATGTTGACCGACAACGGAAAGAACATGGTGTCTGCTCTGCGTCAAGTAAGGTTGTGCCATGCGCCATGCATGGCTCACGTGTTCAATCTGGTTGTCAAGCGGTTCCTAAAATCCACCATCCCACTGCAAGACATCCTTAAAATGTCACGTAAACTTTGCATGCATTTCAGCCATTCCTACACCGCAAAGCACACCCTCCTTGAGCTGCAGCGGCAGAACGGAATTCCACAGCATCGCCTGATCTGCGACGTTGCAACAAGGTGGAATTCAACCCTACACATGGTAGACCGCCTTTACGAACAGCGAAAGGCCATCACCGATTTCCTGATGTTACAAGCGGATAAAGGTACTCCCCTGTGTAACTTCGATGTCAGCCATTGGCAGCTCATGCGTGACACCTGCCGCTTGCTCAGGCCCTTTGAGGAGGCCACGCTATTCGTGAGTCGGCAGGACTATGGGATGAACGACGTCATTCCTCTGTTGCACGTCCTGGAACAAATGCTGTTAACAATGGCTGGTCAGGGTGCGGTAGACGTGGCGCACAGATCTCAACGCCACATGACCCCTGTGGGGGCAGGACAGGAAGAAGAGGAGGAGGTAGAGGAGGACATTTGTGCTCAGGAATTATTGAGTGAAATGGGTGGTTTTTCCACTCAGCGGACAGAGTGGAGGAGCAGGAGCATCTGGTAGAGGAGGAGGAGGAGGAGAGACAGAGGACCCAGATGCACCGGCAGTATGCTGTGGAGATGGAGGCAGGGAGTCCCTCGCATTCCTTGGCACAAATGGCCCATAGCATGCTCGCTTTGCTTGCGTAGCGACAGCCGAATAATAACCATCAGACAGAGGGATGACTTTTGGCTGTCCACCTTGTTGGACCCTCGCTACCGTTCAAAAATGGTGGCCTTTTTCACACCTGCTGAGAGGGAGGCCAAAATAACGTACTATAAAAACCACCTATGTAGTCAGTTGGTCTCTGCCTTTGTGCGCCAACGTCCATCCTCTCAGACACTGTGGGCCCTGTGCGCTCGCGTTCCGCTGCCATGGCAGCAGGGGAGGGGTGGGGTGGTAGGAGCAGTGGCAGCTCCACCAGCAGCGGCTGCCTCAGTCTGCAGTCGATGATGAGTAGCTTTTCTTCCAGCGCAGTGAGGAAACTACTAACCAGCCGCAGCAGCAGCAGCAGCAGCATCAGGTGGACCTGGAGCAGGACCTCAAACAACAGGCTTGGGCCTACTTGGACAGCACCCTGCCAACCGAGGTAGACAATCCCCTTGACTACTGGGCAACGAAACTTGACCTTTGGCCCCAACTAGCTGAATTTGCCCTTGAAAGGCTGTCATGCCCCGGCCAGTAGCGTGGCATCGGAGCGCGTGTTTAGTGCGGCAGGAGGTATTGTAACTCCGCGGAGGACACGACTGTCCACCCAAAGTGTGGAGAGACTCACGTTTGTGAAAATGAATCAGGCGTGGATTAGTCTGGATTTCAAACCACCAGTTCCTGACACAACTGACTAAATCCGCCATGAATCATGCCCCAAACATGTGCCACTTTCAGGTCTCCTCACACACTGCTGGTGTGTTCCATTTTTTGTCATAGGGTGCTGGCAGATTACGGGCCTCCCATTGCTGCTGCCAGGCCTAATCTGCCAGGTCCAGAGTCGTGTCCATGGGTCCCCTGTACCGCCTCCCATTGCTGCTGTGCCAGGAGGCCAGCAGGGTCTCGCATGCAGTGTCAGTGGGGCAAACGGCCACGGCTGTAGAGCACCATCGCTCCACTGCTGCCTTACGGGCCACCATTGCTGCAGGCCAGTAGTGATCTGCCATGGGCCACGGAGGAAGTAGCAGTCAGCCAGTGTCTCTAGCATGGGGCAAACGGCCTCCCTACTGCTGGGTGTGCCAATTTTTCGTCCACTTTCAGGTCCCCCGAGGAAGTAAACGTAGCCTGGCAGATTACGTCGACTATGTGGCCACCCTATTCAAAGTCAAGCGTGGCAGGGGGCCCATGTTGGGTCTACAGCGTTGCGTCAGCATATGCTGTCTCGTCGCCATTCGGTGGGCCTGGGAAACCGTGATAAAGATACGGGGTTCTGCTGCCCCAGCCCAGGGTTCCATTTTGTCATAGGGTGCTGGCAGATTACGGGCATCCCATTGCTGCTGCCAGGCCCCTAATCTGCCATGGGCCCCTGTACCGCCTCCTCATGCTGCTGCCAGGTCCAGAGTCTGTCATGGGTCCCTGTACGCCTCCCATTTGCTGCTGTCTCCATCGCCACACTCTGCCATGTGCCACTTTCAGGTCTCCTCACACACTTTTTGCATAGGGTGCTGGCAGATTACGGGCCTCCCATTTTTTTGACATAGGGTGCTGGCAATTACCATGGGCCCGCCTCCTCATAGCTGCTGCCAGGCCCCTAATCTGCCATGGGCCCCTATACCGCCTCCTCATGCTGCTGCCAGGTCCACAGTCACACTCATGCCATGTGCCACTTTCAGGTCTCCTCACACTGCTGGTGTGTTCAATTTTTTGACATAGGGTGCTGGCAGATTACGGCCTCCCATAGCTGCTGCCAGGCCCCTAATCTGCCATGGGCCCCTATATACCGCCTCCTCATGCTGCTGCCAGGTCCAGAGTCTCTCATGGGTCCCTGTACGGCCTCCCATTGCTGCTGTCTCCATCGCCACACTCTGCCATGTGCCACTTTCAGGTCTCCTCACACACTGCTGGTGTGTTGAATTTTTTGACATAGGGTGCTGGCAGATTACGGGCCTCCCATAGCTGCTGCCAGGCCCCTAATCTGCCATGGGCCCCTATACCGCCTCCTCATGCTGCTGCCAAGTCCAGAGTCTGTCATGGGTCCCTGTACGGCCTCCCATTGCTGCTGTCTCCATCGCCACACTCTGCCATGTGCCACTTTCAGGTCTCCTCACACACTGCTGGTGTGTTGAATTTTTTGACATAGGGTGCTGGCAGATTACGGGCCTCCCATAGCTGCTGCCAGGCCCCTAATCTGCCATGGGCCCCTATACCGCCTCCTCATGCTGCTGCCAGGTCCACAGTCTCTCATGCCATGTGCCACTTTCAGGTCTCCTCACACTGCTGGTGTGTTTCAATTTTGACTATAGGGTGCTGGCAGATTACGGGCCTCCCATAGCTGCTGCCAGGCCCCTAATCTGACATGGGCCCCTATATACCGCCTCCTCATGCTGCTGCCCAGGTCCAGAGTCTCTCATGGGTCCCTGTACGGCCTCCCATTGCTGCTGTCTCCATCGCCACACTCTGCCATGTGCCACTTTCAGGTCTCCTCACACACTGCTGGTGTGTTGAATTTTTTGACATAGGGTGCTGGCAGATTACGGGCCTCCCATAGCTGCTGCCAGGCCCCTAATCTGCCATGGGCCCCTATATACCGCCTCCTCATGCTGCTGCCAAGTCCAGAGTCTCTCATGGGTCCCTGTACGGCCTCCCATTGCTGCTGTCTCCATCGCCACACTCTGCCATGTGCCACTTTCAGGTCTCCTCACACTGCTGGTGTGTTCCATTTTTTGTCATAGGGTGCTGGCAGATTACGGGCCTCCCATTGCTGCTGCCAGGCCCGTAATCTGCCATGGGCCCCTGTACCGCCTCTTCATGCTGCTGCCAGGTCCAGAGTGTGTCATGGGTCCCTGTACGGCCTCCCATTGCTGCTGCCATGAGCAGCAGGGTCGCAGCAGTGTCAGTGGAGGCAAACGGCCACGGAGTAGAGCACCAGCTCCACTGCAGCCTACCACCACGGCCAGTAGTGGTGCCGGTCCCCTGTGCACGGAGGAAGTAGCAGTCAGCCAGTGAGGAGTAGCGGGGGGCCAAAGTTTCCTACTCGGCGGTGTGGCAATTTTTCGTCAAGCCGCCCGAGGAAGTAAACGTAGCCGTATGTCCTCTATGTGGCCAGAAAGTCAAGCGTGGCCAGGGGGCCCATGTGTTGGGACTACAGCGTTGCGTCAGCATATGCAGCGTCGCCATTCGGTGGCCTGGGAAAACCGTGATAAAGATACGGCGGTTCTGCCTGCCCCAGCCCAGGGTTCCATTTTTTTGTCATAGGGTGCTGGCAGATTACGGGCATCCCATTGCTGCTGCCAGGCCCCTAATCTGCCATGGGCCCCTGTACCGCCTCCTCATGCTGCTGCCAGGTCCAGAGTCTGTCATGGGTCCCTGTACGGCCTCCCATTGCTGCTGTCTCCATCGCCACACTCTGCCATGTGCCACTTTCAGGTCTCCTCACACTGCTGGTGTGTTCCATTTTTTGTCGTAGGGTGCTGGCAGATTACGGGCCTCCCATAGCTGCTGCCAGGCCCCTAATCTGCCATGGGCCCCTATACCGCCTCCTCATGCTGCTGCCAGGTCCAGGCGAACGTAGTCACACAGGGGAGGAACTTCTCAGAGGGAGCCCCCACTACAGACCCTCCAGCACATGCATCCCCAGCCACCGCTACATTACCAGGCACATTACCACCTGCACCACGTCCTTAACCGTCGGTTCCCCAGCTCTTGCCAGCAGGCCACTCTCCAGAGCGCTAGGTATATGCTCGAGCTTCACATACACACGCCCACTCTGTTAGAACCAGCTTCGGCGGCTTCCGTGACGTCACTTCCTCCACTTCGCCATCAGACTCCTCCATAAGCCCATATTGAGCTATCAACTTCAAAGTATCAGTAATTATGTGTAATGTGTCAAAAATCTCATCTTTAATGTTATCAAACAATTCAGTAAATTTTTCCAGTGTGTGTACGTTTCAAACTGATAGCCCTACTATTGTAAGGGATGGAGAAAAATTTTTTCCCTAATGGTAGATGAAGGAGAGACTTTGCCTTACTCCTAGGAATATCTCTTTTAAACAAATGACCTTTCGGTATTTTCTGAAATTCTAAGTCATTATTGTTCATAAACCAGGTAGCTGGGGATATCCTTATGATAGTGCACCTCCCAGTACCTCCCACAGGTAAAAATTTGTAAGCATTATTTCCACATGCATAAACCTAGTCATGTGGCATCTGAAGTTGACCAAGTTGGCTTATCTGGTAAAGGTTCAAGAAACACAGTATTTTCAATCAAAATCTTATACTGTCTTTCCTGGTTCATCAAAGTATATTTGATTCCTTTGTTAGTATAGTAAAAGTTATTAGCAGTTCCTAGTGACATTGGTTCCAGTTCATGAGGTATACTGTTAACTGATGTGTAAAACTGTGGCTTCTTAGGAGTACAAATTACAGCCTCTCCTACAAATATGTCATTTTATGTACAGTTCACCATGGATCTGAGCAACCAGAATGCTATTGACAGTCCCATCACTGTTTGGTTGAACTTTCCCAGGGTCAAATCCCCATGTTATAGTGATCTATGTTGTAAGTCCTCTGAAAACTGCCCAACTGTCTGTGTAGATCACTAAAGGGCCTTCAGTTTCTTCAATCACCATGGCTACTGCCTGTAGCTCAGCAAACTGGCTGGACCCTCCCTCCCTAGTTTTGTATAACATTGTCTCAGTGGTGGGTTGAAAGGCAGCAGCAGTCCAAATTAGGCATTTCATTGTAATTGTGGCTGAACCATCGGTGTGTACCATGCAAACTGCTGTTTATCAGCTGACAAATCCTCCCAAGCTGGAGCTTCCTGGAATGGACTTCCATGAATCATGATTACAGGTCACTCTAGCTCAGCAGATTCAAAAGTTACCAGTCCAGCCAACTGTTGGCTTAAAGCAGTTGGTTCTTGAGCAGAAATGCCACCTCTCTCACTTAGATAGCATATCCACTTCTGAAGAGTAGGCTTCTGGGCAACTGCAGTTCATGCACCAAGTCTTTCATGTTTGGACCACTTGGAAATAGGCAAGTGTTCACACTACCACTGGTTGCTGATTGGTAGTGAGCTCCACATGCTGAAGGGCGGTATATGCAGCTAGCAGTTGTTTCTCAAGAGGACTGTACTTCCTTTGAGCTTTAGAAAATTGTTTTGACTAGAAACCCATTGGTATTTTCCTGGCCCCTGACTGTGGGGCCTTCTGCCAAGACATTACTTGTTCAGTTATGGATACATCAAAATAGAAAGGTTGATCAGGCTGCAATGGTCCCAGGGGAACTATGGCTTCATATAGTCTCTTTGGCCAAAATCCATGGCACATTGTTGTTCAGGGCCCCATCTGAAATTAGATTTTTCCTGGTGACATTGTAAATCGGTCTCAAAATTAATCCCAAATGAAGTACAAATGCTCTCCAGTACCCCAGTACTCCCAGCAGGCTTTGAGCTTCCTTGATAGTTGTGGGAGATTTGAGATTAGCAATTGTATACAAGACAGGCTGTGGAATTGTCTTTTGAGGATTAGTCCATATCATTCCCAGAAATTTCACAGATTGGGATGGGCCCTGCACTTTAGAAGGATTAATGGACCAGCCTCTTTTCTTCATATAGTCCTCTACAGTAAATCCTTTTGGACTTCATCTTGAGTTGCTCCAGATAGCACGATTTCATCAATGCAATGATATACTGTACAGGAAATTGGTGGAACCTTTTCCAAGTCTCTAGAAACAAGTCCAAGACAGATTGTAGGCCTGTGCAATCAGTCCTGGGGTAAAATAGTAGGAGTGTACTGCCTTTCATTCCACTGAAAACCAAATTGATCTAGAGATTCTTCATCAATTGCTATGGAAAAGAAAACATTTGCTAAATCTATGACAGCATGCCACTCCCCACCTGTTTGTGCAATATTTTCAACAAGAGTCACCATATCTGAAACAGCCGCTGTCAGGGGAGGGGCCAACTTGTTTAATGTTTGATAGTCAATAGTCAGTCTAGAGCACAGATGTCAAACACAAGGCCCGTGGGCCAAATTCGGCCCTCCAAGCTATTTCATGTGGCCCTTGCACCTCACCTGCAGGTACCCCTTTGTCTCCGCCCCCACCTTTTCTCAGCAGAGAGGAGAATAGAACTCCTCTGCCAAAACATGCACCTCTCAGTGCACCTGCAGCACACCCTCATCTCTGCCTCCTCTGGTCTCAGCATTCAGCAAACACTGGTAACTGACTCCACTCCTCATCTGGTCCTCCTCCAGACCCTGGACTTTTTGCATTCCGGCTCTGTCCCCAAAGGGGGTGCACGGTGATGTTAGGGAGGGAGTGGGATTCTTGACATCTGATGTAATGGGGGGTGGACATCTAGTCTTACAGATACAGCCAGCCTTTTGAGGGTAACCATAATGCTGATACGGCCCGAGATGAAATGGTGTTTGACACCCCTGGTCTATAGGGTTCATCAGGTTTCTTTAATGGAAATATGGGGGAACAAAATGGGCTGACAGCTGTCCTGAATTCCTCACCTTCCAACAAGGTTTGGGTAGTGTTTGTAACTTCCTTGTGTCCCCTTGGAATGCCATATTGCTTCAAATTTACTGGGTGCTCAGGGGGTGGAATGTACACTGATGTCCATTTAGCATGGGTTTGACTGCAGACACAGTAAAAGAATGGACTGAAGTGCCAAACACATACTGTATATCTCAGTCATGGTATGGATAGTAAAATATCCATTCCAAGTATGTTGTCAGGTAGTTCAAATACAAGAATGCTGGCAATGAAAATGGCGCCTATGCCTATTTGTAAGCTGCAGTGAACATTAACAATCCATGTAGTCTGCCCTCCCAAACTTTCCATAGCTACCCATGTAGTGTCTGTGTTCTTTAGTGTACGGTTGCCATGAAACAAAGAAACCTCTGCTCCTATGTCTAAAAGGGCTGTTACTCTTTGTGGACATAACTGTCCTTGCCTGTAAATAGCCACTGATGCATATGGGCTTTGATCCCCTGGCTTCATTACACAAATTCTCATCAGTGATGCAGGGGATCCACTTACAAGTGAGTCATAAATAAACTGTGGCACCCCCCCACCCCTTCTCTTTCTTAGAGGGTGTATGCTTTCTCTACATCACTAGTCTCCACCCTCTTGGGTCTGGCTGTCTGTAACCTCTCTTGCTGCTTCATTTCCTTCCAAAGTTTGAGCAGATCAGCAGTGGGTATCCCATTAATACTTTCTTTGGGAACACCACTGTTAATCATCAGATCAAAAAACAACTGTTTCCTTGTAATTTAAAACCTCTGTGTTTGATCTCCCATTTTCTGGCTTCTGTATTGACCATTGCTTATAACCTGGTCCTGGTCCTCTATTTCTCCTAACTGACCCATGAATGCAGCTGCCTCATGCACATTCCTCTAGCTCCCATCCAAAGCACTTAATACTGTGAATAATGCAGGGCATAAATGTTGTGAGGCTGTCTTGAGTATTTTCTGTCTCATTAAAGAAGAAAATCGGGAAATGTCTGGG